TTGGCCTCCAAAAGCGCTGGGATTACAGGTGTGAGCCACCCAGCCCAGCCTCTTTTGTTTTTTTGAGACAGGGTCCTGCTCTATTGCCCAGGCTGGAATGCAGTGGTATGATCTTGGCTCACTCCAACCTCCACCTTCTGGGCTCAAGTGATCCTCCACCTCAGCCTCCCAAGTAGCTGGGACTACAGACACACGCCACCATGTCTGGCTAATTTTTGTATTTTTTTGTAGAAACAGGGTTTCACCATGTTGCCCACACTGGTCTTGAACTTCTGTGGTCAAGAGACTCACCTACCTCAGCTTCCCAAAGTGCTGGGACTACTGGCATGAGCCACTGCACATGGCCCGCACTCCATTTTTATTTTATTTTTTTGAAATAAAATCTCACTCTGTTGCCTAGGCTGGAGTTCAGTGGCTTGATCTCAGCTCACTGCAACCTCCACCTCCCGAGTTCAAGCATTATCCTGCCTCAGTCTCCCGAGTAGCTGGGACTACAGGCACATGCCACCACACCTGGCTAATTTTTGTATTATTAGTAGAGATGGGTTTCACCATATTGGCCAGGCTGGTCTCGAACTCCTGACCTTGTGATCCACCCACCTCAGCCTCCCAAAGTGCTGGCATTAAAGGCGCAAGCCACCGCACCCAGCCAGCCCCCACTCCATTCTTTAGCCTCCATACTACTCTATTAAAACTACTATCCACTGCACAAGCACTACAACCACATTAATAAAGGACTTAATTCTATTTTGACAAAAAGCAATGGTTGCATTGCAGTTTAATATACATTAGTAGTCATTATCCCACCTTCAGGTCTTAGAAACAACCTTCTACAAATAAGAGATTCACAACTAAGGAATCCAACCAGGACAATTTTCTATGTCTACATATGTGTATCACTATACATATGAGGGAGGGGGACAAGGAAAGCAGATACAGTCACAGCAAGAGGTTCCTATTGAAAGACATTTTGCTGACCAAGCAGTTTTTAATGTAACTCAGAATCCCAACAGTAGTACTGCTTTGTGGAGATAATTACTGAACTTTGATCTACTTCACTGTTCATTCATTTGACATGAATCATTAAATAATCTTTGACGTCACCCCAATTCCAACATGACAGATAACAGTAAGGCTTCTGTGTTAAATGTTATGACATACACCTGCATTTAACATAGCTTAACGTAGAAAAAAGATAAAACTGAGTTGCAACTGAGATACCCTCAATAGTGAATAATGATAAATAATGAAAAACTGACATGAATACTTCTGGAATTTTCACCCAAACTCCATCAATTTCTATGACTCAAAAAGTCTTGCTTTCACATGACATCAACATGTGGATAAAATTCTTAGTTTTGTAGAACAGTGATAACAGAGAGAAGAAAGAACCATGTAGCAGCAAGCAAATATCAGACTTCTCTCTTATAAACTTTCTGATTTTTTTTTTTTGAGACGAAGTCTTGCTCTGTCGCCCAGGCTGGAGTGCAGTGACACAATCTCCACTCACTGCGGCCTCCACCTCCAGGGTTCAAGCTGATTCTCCTGCCTCAGCCTTGAGACTACAGGCATATGCCACCACATCTGGCTGATTTTTATATTTTTAGTAAAGCCAGGGTTTCACCATGTTGGCCAGGCTGGTCTTGAATTCCTGACCTCAGGCGATCTGCCCACCTCAGCCTCCCAAAGTGTTGGGATTACGGGCGTGAGCCACCATGCCCGACCAACTGTGTGATTTTTCATTTATTACTATTATTTTTTTGAGATGGAGTCTCACTCTGTCGCCAAGCTAGAGTGCAGTGGAGCAATCTTGGCTCACTGCAACCTTCACCTCCTGGGTTCAAGTGATTCTCCTACCTCAGCCTCCTGAGTAGCTAGGACTACAGGTGCATGCCACTATGCCCAACTAATTTTTGTATTTTTAGTAGAGACGAGGTTTCACCATATTGACCAAGATGGCCTCAATCTCTTGACCTTATGATCCACCTGCCTCAAACTCCCAACTGCTGGGATTACAGGCATGAGCCACCACGCCTGGCCCCAACTGTGTAATTTTTGAAGCAAGTTACTTGATCTCCCTTTGTCTTTAGTTTTGTCATCTGTAAAACACAGATAATATAGTGTTTTCAGAGTTAAAAGAAACTTATAAAATAAAATGCTTGGCATATAACAGGGATTTTAAAGTACAGGTTTCCGTCCAATTATTTTTCTTTCTTTTTTTTTCATACCCAATGAAACCTATATTTTTCATTTTTTAAAATGTTAATATCACCCTGTCTTGACCACTGTTGAAACAAACATCAATATGTTGCTACCATTAACTGCACGGTGGCGTGCACCTGTACTCCCACCTACTCTGGAGGCTGTAGCAGAAGGATCATTTGAGTCTATCAGTCCAAGGTTGTACTGCATTATGACTGCCTCTGTGAACAGCCATTGTACCCCAGACTGGACAACACAGCAAGACCTCATTTAAAAAAAAAAAGCCACCTTAGGCCAGGCATGGTGGCTCATGCCTGTAATCCCAGCACTTTGGGAGGCCAAGGTAGATGGATCACTTGAGGTGGCCAACGAAGCACTGCCTCTACTAAAACTACAAAAATTAGCCAGGCGTGGTGGCAAGCACCTGTAATCCCAGCTACTTGGGAAGCTGAGACAGGAGAATCACTTGAACCTGGGAGGTGGAGGTTGCCGTGAGCCAAGATTGCACCACTGCACTCCAGCCTGGGCAGCAGAGTAAGACGCCACCTTAAAAAAAAAGAAGAAAGTACTCGCTTCAGCAGCACGTATACTAAAAAACTGGAACAATACAGAGATTAGCATGGCCCCTGTGCAAGGATGACACGCAAATTTGTGAAGCGTTCCATAAAAATATAAAAAAGAAAAAAATGTCATCTTATTATCAATAAACACATGAAGAGATACTCAATATCACTAGTCAACCTACTAGAATGGCTATAACTGAAAAAGAAAAAAAAAGGGAAAACAGCAAGTGGTGGCAAGGATACTAGGGGAATGTAAAATGGTACAGCCACTTTGGAAAACATTTTAGTGTTTCTTCAAAAAATTAAACGTGGAATTACCACAACCTAGCAATTCCACTCCTAGGTATACACCAAAAAGAACTGAAAATAGTATACTAATACTGAGAGAGCATTGTTTACAATAGCCAAAAGGTGAAAACAAACATAGTATCCATCAATGAATGAAAATACAAAATGTGGTACATTAAATATGATTGTCATAAAAATAATACATTCTACAACATGTATGAATGTTGAAAACATTACACTAAGTGAAATAAGCCAGACACAAAAGGCCAAATATTACATGATTCCACTTACATGAAATATCTAGAATAGGTAAATTCACAGAGACAAAAATCAGAGGCCGGGTAAGGTGGCTCACGCCTGTAATTCCAGCACTTTGGGAGGCCAAGGCAGGTGGATAACAAAGTTAAGAGATTGAGACCATCCTGGCCAACATGGTGAAACCCCATCTCTACTAAAAATACAAAAATTAGCTGGGCATACTGGCACGCACCTATAGTCCCAGCTACTCGGGAGGCTGAGGCAGGAGAATCGCTTGAACACAGGAAGCGGAGGTTGCAGTGAGCTGAGATCACACCACCGCACTCCAGCCTGGTGAGAGAGCAAGATTCCATCTCAAAAAAAAAAAAAAAAAAAAAGTAAATTAGTGGTTACCAGGGGCTGGTTCAAGAAGGGAATGGATAGTCACTACTTAACAGGTATAGAGTTTCTTCTATTTGGGATGGTGAACAAATTTGAAAGTACATAATGGTGATGGCTGTATAACATTGTGACTGCAATTAATACCACTGAAACGTACAGTTAAAATGAATAAAATGTTATATATAATTTACCACCATAAGAGTCATTAGAGGGCCAGGTGCAGTGGCTCACGCCTGTAGTCCCAGCACTTTGGGAGGCTAAGGTGGGAGGATCACCTGAGGTCAGGAGTTCGAAACCAGCCTGGCCAACATGGTGAAACCCCATCTCTACTAAAAATAAGAAAATTAGCCATCATGGTGGGGCCTGCCTGTAATCCCAGCTACTCGGAAGGCTGAGGCACAAGAATTACTTGAACCCAGGAGGAGGAAGTTGCAGTCAGCTGAGATGGCACCACTGCACTCCAGGCTGGGTGACAGAGCAAGACTACATCTTAAAAAAAAAAGTCATTGTCTTGATCAAAATCTTCACGCTGTTTCCCATTTTCAATAAACTTAATTCTAGAACCCTGCAGGTTTGACAATTAGCAAAACTTAGTAGTTTACATAAATTAAAAAATAGGAGAAATTAGGTCCAGGGTTTAAGAGATTTCTCTGTACTATAGTTACAAACTTTCTGTAAATCATAACTTCACGATTTTTTAAATAAACTCTCTAAAAAAATAGTTTATTGATAAAAAGAGAAACCTTGCTGAATCTCAGAAGTGTTATGCTAAATGAAAGAAGCCAGATTCAAAAGGCTATACACTGGGTGACGCCAATTTATATGACATTTTGGGAATGGAAAAACTATAGGAATAAAAACCAAATGAGCTGTTGCCAGGGAGTGAGGAGTGGGCAGAAGGGATTTACTTCAAAAGGGCATTATTATGGAAATTATTGAAGTGACAAAAATATTCTTATCTTATATCTTAATTGTGGTGGTGGTGGTTACACAAATGTCACTGTTTTCATAATTCATCTGTTTTAGCAGAATTGTATAGAACCATACACCTAAAACAGATGAATTTTACTATGTGTAAATTATACCTCAATAAGTTTGACTTGTCAAAAAGAATCCTTAAGAACTGTAGTATCATGTAATGCATTTCAATACACACAGAATTCTAGCCTAATAAATGTCATTATGAGATCTAGTCAGATAAAACTAGGCTATTTGGGCCAGGTGTGGTGGCTCATACCTGTAATCCCAGCACTTTGGGAGGCAGAGGCAGGGGGATCACTTGAGGTCAGGAGTGTAAGACCACCCTGCCAACACAGTAAAACCCTGTCTCTACCAAAAACACAAAAATTAGCCAGGCATGGTGACAGGCGCCTGTAATCCCAGCTACTCAGGAGGCTGAGATAGGAGAATCTCTTGAACCCAGGAGGTGGAGGTTGCAGTGAACCGAGACTGCACCATTGCACTCCAGCCTAGGTA